AAATTTTTCCCCCCTTCTCACCCTGAATTCGAGTTAACCGTGAGAAATTCGTTATCGGGAGTGAAAATTTCATTCGAGATATCCGGAAATTCGAGATAAGCGAATTCGAGTTAAACGGAGCATTTAACATGGTGTCCTACGGGGTTCCGCCGGGACCAAGCTTTGAACTTCGAGATAAGCGGAATTTCGACTTATCAGGATTCGAGTTAACGAGTTTTCACTGTATTTGTTTCTACCCTCCCCTAGTCCTGTACACTTCTGAATTCCCATACTTAACTTCAGCCTTTAATAATTCCCCAAGTCTTTTATTGCAATCAAAACATAATTTCGCGATTTCCTAGTACCTGTTTATAAATTGCACATTAAAAAAAAGGGAAAAGGAGGAAGAAACACTTTTGCTAAATCAGGAAGACAGGTACTTCATTGCGCATGGAACGGGGCTACCATCTAGTGGGGGACTCTTGGTACTGCATCTAGGGGAGTGCCAGTTACATTCTCCACCCTGAACTGGTGGAGAATGTAGCTGGCATTCCTTACCTACAATAGGCAGCGGGCCAGTAACTGCATGTCCAACATGCCGCTACGTTCCCGCCCCCGGCAGAAATCCGCCAGAGCAGTGCCTGGGCCGCTTATGGCCCACTACTTTTGCGCTACTTGGGTAGCCATCAGCGCAATCTCTCTCTCAATTTGCAAAAAATGCATAGCTCTGCGTATACAGGGTGTCCCAGAAATATCCGGCCGACTTTGATCACATATATCTTTTTAATTTTTAATTTTAATATGAGGCTTTTTAAAGTTTGAATTTGTTTGTTTATTTTGTTTGTTTCAGAAAAAAAGTCCTGTGAAAAATGGCTAACCGTTTAACGTTTGAAGAAAGAAAAACGATCTTGAAAGAGTACTGGAAATGTGGCAGTGTGAACCAAGCCTCCTTTAGACTTTTTTGTGGGGCTATGTAAAAGACAAGGTTTACGCGCGAAAGCCCAAGACAATTTGCCAGCTGCAACTGGAAATTGAAAACGTGTGTGCGTCTATCCCGGTTGAAATGCTGCAGTCCGTGTGTGACTCGGTTTTCCAGCGTTGTGTGAAATGCTACAATGCTGCTGGCGGTCATTTTGAAAAGTGAAATGAAAAGTCATTAAACCTGCTTTAAAAACCTGCATCATTTTTTCCTTTGCGAGCAATAGTATCCAGGTTATTCCCGATCAAAGTCGGCCGGATATTTCTGGGACACCTTGTAGATTCCCTAAATGATCAATATCTCTATCAAGTATAATACAATTGGAAATTGAATGGCCAGGATTCTTCTCAATATAGGCGTATGAAGAAAAAAAGTTTGGAGTTTATAATAAGGTGTTTGAACAAGTCCCATTAGCTTCTGTCCTGGCTCTCAAGATGGGAATTCAGCTGTCGTGCAACAGCATCCGGAATGACCCCAGATTTCTGCGAATGATGGACAAGGTGAACCGTGCAATCGAACAGGACGAGGAGTTGCATTGGCAAGCATGACCTTCAGATTGAGGCATACCACTTACGAGGGCCGAGTTGTTTTGTGTCATGTTTAGTAAAGTTTGTTTTACATAATTTTGTTATTTTTCTCGCTAGTAAGCGCCAAAGCTTCAAAATTCTTCTCAGATGGGCAGCGCCATATTGCACTTGGATCAGTAGGTGCACGTTTCTAAATAAAAAAAATGGTCACAATATTTTTAAGCATTTACATATGTGAAATTTCACGATTCTACAATGAAGAGAAGGCACAGAGATTTTAATTTTTCCGGCCCTACGTTCCCTTCCCGCATCCCCAGTACGTAAAAAGGATATACTCACGTCGCACAGGACTCAGGACATACATAAATCACAATCACAAAGATATATTCTCAAAAATTGGGCTTTCTGAAACGAGTGGAAGTAGAGGCCTGCACCACCAACAAATAGGCGAATCCACAAACCTTTTCTAAACGAAAATACCTAAACTTCACTTCCTGGACGGTTTTCATCGACTCAAGTCTTAAATTGAAAGAACGAAGGAACTTACGGGTTGTGTATATAGCCATTTTCATGGTCATAGCTAGGGGTCCTCTGCCACAGCTACTCAATGCTTTAATGTACCCGTGGAATTACGAGCGAACGTCATACTTCAAAACATTCTTGACATTCCTTCTCGTCAGTGAAGAACCCTGAAAAAAAAATTCTGGAAAACGGGATATGAAAAGGAGGAATCATAAAATAGTTTTTAAATTGCTGACTTCATGTCAGGTGGTACCGACGGAGTACATTCACCTGACCATTTGGTCCCTTGACCATGACCTTCTGCTTTCTCTCAGCCGCGGTGCCGAAAGAAAAAGGGAACCAAATTTGACAACAATGGTACTGCAGTTGTTACCGTATATTTATTCGGTGCAATAGCTTGATCAAGAAAAGCGTTTCAGCTCTAATATAATGGAGTGACTGGACGCAACATTGATCCGAGACAGTCCTGATTTTGAAACGTGCGTCCCGCTGTCCCAACGTTGGCCATTGAAAAGAGAAAAAAAGAGTGGGCGAGTGTAGGAATTTTATTGCGTTCTCTCTACGACCCTGCAACAAATCCTGATTGATACATGCCTGCACTCGAAACGGATTGAGGCAAAGGAAAGGAAGAAGAAGCAATTTCATGCTGCAAGGTCGTCGGTTGATCTGGATCCGATCACGTTAATTAAGCAAGACCTATTGAGTGATTCCATATGGGCGTAGAAGACGTGAGAGACACCAATGCGATGTCACGATGGTCGACATTTCACTGATTGTCCCCTAGATGTCGGATGAATCATACGGCGTCACCGATCCCGCGCGTGAGTGCGCGAGCATTGTGAGAGATGGACCTTTCACAGGTGGGAATTCCTTTTAATTTGCAGTCTAGGTTAAACTTACCCTAGAATAAAACTTATACCCTACTCTGCTTTCATCCACGTGTCGATGTATGGAACTACCATGTTCGAATATTTTTGCAAAGGAAGTCGGATATTCTCGTGAAGATCGGATTTTTTACCTGGATCCTCGCACATACTTAACACATTTAACGTGATTTAATCGAGAGGACAAGGGTTCACGAGATCTAGAACTGCTATTATCTGTTAGAAGGAAGTGTTACCTTTCCACTGACACACGAGCAATACAGCTGCGTTCGTCGAGTGAAGCTGGAAAAGGTGGGAGAAGAGCCATCCGCAATTCCGCATGCGAGCCAGGTGAAGACCAGCTTGGATTGCCTCCGT